AACGTGTCCAAAGAGGCTATACTGCATTTCAACCAAGTTGTTGGCGCCAAACCATACAGCCGTGTTTGTCGATACGGGGGACGACTGTATCAGTTGGGATGGCAGGTGCCTATTGCTGGTGAGCCCTGTGCCCAATGCCAGTGCGACGAGCACTGGGATGACAACAATCCATTGGACAGTCTGTCCTGCGGTCGCGTTGACTGTGAGCCGGATCTGCAAATCAAACTGAAGGCCGGCTGTCGGCCCCTATACTCGTCACACGAGTGCTGTCCAGTCGACTATTACTGCGGTTTGTCTCTTAAACTTACTATTTCTTTTGACACAATATTTCGCAACTGTTATCGCATTTTATATATAATCCAATTTATCAATAAAACAACAGATAGCAAAATTGCATGTTATTTTACTGACACATTAAAATCATTGGGCACTTTTTACACAGGGTACTTGAAATACATGTGCCGTATATATCGTGCATGAAGTAAATCAAATAATACTTTATTAGGGACAATGAACTAGTTAAACAATACATGCATATATTGTTAAATTGTATTTTAATAAAGGCCCGCAGTGTGTATTCAATGGGACCCGATATCCATTGGACACCAAACTATATCTGAGCCATACATCGGGCGACGGCACGTGCGATGAGTGCCGGTGTTCAGCGCCACCACATTTCACATGTGTTAACAGTGTCTGTACGGCACGGATTGGCCACAAATTACTTCAGCTCAAGAGTATTCGATGAATTTATTTTTATATAAATAATCATATTTTTAGTTAAATTTAATATGCTATAAAGTTATAATAATGATAGCTATTGTTTGTTAACTTTGTGTAAAATAAAATATCATAACTTTAATATTCAATGAAATGTATCATGATTTGATTAAATTATGCATGTATGTAAAAACTAATCACATTGAGACTAAACATTTTATGTTATCATTTAATGTTAGATAACAAGGTAATTTAGAATACAGAACCGCTGGTCTATCAAACCATAAGTATAATGTATTTAATTATAAAAAGTATCAAGTTAAGTAAGTTTATGTACTCAAATTATAATTTATTTAATATGAAATACAATTAATGAATTAATTATATCATTTAAAACATAAACAAAAATAAAATTTATTTCAAAACACAAAACAAATATTGTAAATACCATTAATTAAGATAAATAGAGTATATTGTACCATGATGAGTATATAATTTTAGATAAGTCATCATAAATTTATCAAACAAAAAACTGTGCATGCTTAAAAATGTAGTATTGATATAGAGTTTAGTGTTTGTGGTGACAAACAATGATATATCTGTTCACAGATTCCTCCTCAAGAAGATTAGGGCAATGATAACGAAGAACGCGAACCAGACATAAGTGACCACAAAACCGATGTACACCTGGAAGTGATTGATATCCCAGTCCCTGAAGAGTATGCTTCGCATGGATTGAATGGGAAGAGTGGAGGGCATAGAGTAGCTCCAGTAGCGGAGGGCGGGCGGCATGTTCTCGATGGGCCAGAAGACACCGCCGATGATAATGCTGACGAAGAACATGCATATGATAAACATCGCCGCGTAGATGATGTCGGAACTGATGGCCGATATCATCAGACCAAAGGTGATGCCGCAGAAGCCTTGGGACAGCGCCAGAG